GTGCTGGCCAGTCGTCTGGCAGCCCTCCCCTCCATTCGACGCGTCTCTTTGGTGTAAAGTGGTTATGCAAGCACTGTAAGCTGCATCCTCACCCTCCGGCATCTCATCCCCCCCAACTCCACAACAAAACCTTGGAAAATTGGGCGACCCAGCTTTACGGAAGAGTTGATGCTGCTCTCTTCTTCGAGCCTGAGCCTGAGGAAGAGAGTTGCCTTCTTTTGCCTTCTTTTTGCGCTCTTTTCGGGGAGGATCACGACAGCAATGTCCCCTGCCTAGTCTACCTACCGGTAGTGTAGACATCTTAGTTGTGCTTCTGCAACTCAACTGATGATCCCTGCAGCCTGGAGCAGGGTTGTGTTGCTGTCGAGTCATCGCTGTTCGCCTGTTTCTGTCCGTCCGTCGCAGACTCGCATTGCTTCTTCCTCCTCGCGGTTTCTTCTCCACACTTTTCCCACGCCGCGCCCTGGCAGTTTTGGGTGTGTTACCTCACTTACTCTTAGTTACTGTACTTGACTCCCGTCTTTTAGTGACGGCTCCCCCCTAGACGCGGCGCCCGCATCGTACCGCACCGGCAACGCACCGCCTGCACCCACCTGCCAAGTGCCCTGTATCCAGCATACCTACAGTACACTAGAAACAACCCCACCCCTCCTCCTCCTCGTTCCCTCCTTCCCTCGTCTCGGTTGCTTGTCCATGTCTATCAAGCTTGCACTTTCCAATCCATCTGCCCACTCCCCTTCTGCGCCTCACTTTTGTCTTGTCTTCGCAACCATCTGCTACCTACGCTCGCCTGGCATTGCTCTTCCGTGCGCGGCCCTTTTACGAAGCTCGTCCAAAGTCGTCGCAGGCCTCGTTTCCTGGCGTTGCTGAACAAGACATAAATACGCGCTTCACCTCCTACTCCCGTCTCTTCACCTTCACCCTGGAACTCTGCATGTGGTCAGTCTCTGCCTGAGGATGATGCTCCATGAACTGCGATGCCTGCCTGAATACAGCCTGGACTAACAACCACAGTGCCATGTACTAGATCCCGCCTTACCATTGCGGCCCAGCTGGTCTGGTTGGGGCCGCTCCAGGAGGTTTCGCCGTCGTCTTTATATCGCCGAGTTTCCCTTGGACGTCTTTCACCTCTCTTCGACCCATTCCTCTTATGCCGGCGCGCAAAGTAGCAGGCCGCATCCAATTCCAACCGACCCAGGAGATGACCTCCCCGAGCCTCAATGGCCGCCACACCCTTCGAACATCCCGTCCCCACCAATTCTTTCCTCTTTGATATCTACAATGATGGTTCAGCTGCCCGGAACACGGTCAATTCCAATCTGCCAGGAGGACCTTGCAACTTCGTGGATCTAGCCCAAGGAGCCAATGGTGCCAAATGTGGGTGCCGTCGGTTCTGGAGTCGCCAGACAGCGGGCGCGGCATACTCAGGGAACTACACCGCGGACCAGGCCGGCTGGTGTATGTGTTCTCATCATGCCTGCTATCACGATGATGTCCAGGCTGCTGCTGCTGCTCAGGCGCCAATGCCAGCGCAGGTGCCTTTCCCAGAGGTCACCGCCGGCCAGGAGAACGAAAAGCCCAGGGGAAACAGGGAGCCATTGAGCCCGGTCCAGGACCTGGCCTCTTTTAATATGCCTTCTAGCCTCGGAGGCGCCGCCATGGACTTTGCTACCTTGAATTTCGCTTCCTTTTCCTCCAACATGTTAGACGGCGCCACCGTCCCCCAAGATGATAGGACTGTAATTGCGCCGGACAATTCTATGCCCGATACGTTAAGCTGGAGGAACTACGTCCAATCCCAGGCCGGCCATACTCCATTGCCGCCGATTCCTGCTGAGTGTCTAATGCCATCTCAGACGGCTTCTACTACCTCGTCCAGCCAGATGAGATATCTTCGGCCTTTTGCAGGCAAGGGACTCCAGACACTAAGTAGTGCTCCTGAACCTAGTGTTCGCGATCCATCGAAGAATGCAGATGCCATAAATGAACATCAAGACCATGACACACCGGATGCAGGCGCTGGTGAGGAGAGCTATATGACCCGCTATCTGCAACTCTCCGGCGCGGCAACTCCCAGGCCGGGAACTACTCAGGAGCTTGCTGAACTAGCCGACTCCGCTTCTCCAGGTCCTGGTGGACCGGGCCGTGAGGCTTTCCTGAACCTCTCTAATGCTGTCAGTGGCCATGAGCAGCGCCTGGATAAATTGGAGAATGCTTCATTCTCTGTAGCTGGTCACGAGGAATGTCATGACAAGCACGATCAGAGTGATCTGCGGATTACGGATCTCGAGTCCCGAATGGAAGACGTTGAGAAGAGGCTTAATGACGACAACACCAGTCTCGCCAGCAGTCGTCGCATTCTCCAGCATGACGAAGATGCCACAAATAGTGTGATATCCGTATCAACGAACGCTACAACTCGCGTAGCGGACCAATCACAAATTTACAGCCAATTGCATGCTTTGCAGGTTCAGGTCAACAGACTACAGGCAGCATCATTGCCTTCATACAACTCTCCCTGGGAAGTAGAAGTTGTCTTCTTGCCATTTCCTCTGAAGGGAATCTGGCTCCAGACAAATGAATTCCCCACTCAGAGGTTGTCTGGTGGCCGTGAGTCTCATATCGAGGAGTGGACTCAGCAGCCCAACACACTTAGCAGAGCAACACCCGACCCTCAGTCGCCCTACATGGCTGAATGGGCGGGCCAAGACTCCGACTGGCTTCTGCCTAGAGCATGCGCACCAGGTCGCATGATTGATCAGCGACTGAAGAGTCGTGGTCTTGTCAAGACAATTTCCGTCCGCGGATCGGATGCCCGAAGTGTGCAACTCGCCATCGGTAACGCTTTCGACACCGTGCTCCGGGCCATGCCCTCCACACCGGTCTCGGTGGTGCATAGGTCGCCGTATGCTGCTGACTCTCGGCTTGCCAAGTTCCTCGGCCTCCAACAAAGTTGGGTGCCACTACGCAAGGTCCACAAAGACTCACGCCTGCGTTTCCTGTCTCCTGCTGAGCTATTGACGCCTGTCTTGTGGGATGCTGCATTTCTCATGAACAGTGTTGTTATGAAGGCTACAGGCATGCAACGACTCTACGTGACACAGCCTGAGGCATATCTACAAGATCATGCCCGCCCTGTTCACCGAGGTTCCGAGACTGGGTGGACATGGCAGAAGCTACGCGAGCTAAGTCGTGTGTATCCGGATTCGCAGAGCAGCGCTAGCAGTGCTGAAGTACCTGAGGCAGACGCAGCCGAAGAATACTGGACTTGGAATGATCGTCTCGACGAGGTCCCAAGTCCGCAGCAATCTGGCCTGAGCCTGAGGCAGGGCCATGGCAATCAGCTGCATGTCTCACGATCATCTGATGAGTCATCGCAACAATACTTCACTGGTCTTCAGTCCCAAATGAGATCGACCAGCCCGGTGATTTTGAGAGGACAGTCTCCTGCCATCCAAAGGGAGCGCAAGGGGTCTCGACCGCCGCATGTTCGGACTGCATCTATGCCACCAACTCTCCCGGCGGTGCTGTCACCACTAGGGCAAGGCAAACGTCGTGTTGCATCATATAGCATTGCCAACAATAACCTGCCCTATGAACGAAGGTCGTCTCCATTGACTACCACGCGTCCAAGTCCGCGTATTCCAGCGGCTGTACCTGCTGCAGCGGTTGTCTCTAGGCAGCGTCGGCGAACCACTCGTTCGCCCAGCCTACGACCTCGCAACACCCCTCGATGGAGCAATCTCAGTATGAGCCGGAGCCCAAGCCTCGCTCCGATCCCAGTGCCGGGAGGCTACATGGATCATGACAGTCGGGGCGACAGGCGTACGACGCCATTTGCCTACGCTACTCCGTATAGCAACGCGCCTCTTGACCTACCACCCCAAGTGCGCCAGGGCAGTCGCAGCATCAATGTATACGAGGATGATGACATGGATTATGATGATGAAGATCGGGGTAGTTCAACGGACCCCTATGATGACAGCGAGATGCTGGAAGATGAGGCCGATATGAGAGGCCATGCTCTTGCTGACAGCGATGTTGACATTGATATCGACGTCTATGAAGACGAACTTGATGACTTGGATGATATTGAATCTGAGTCCGCTGGTGCCTCGAGTCAGCAAAGGCACCTTCCGGCAGCCCACCAATCATCCCAAGACGCGCAGCACGCTCAGCTGCCTGAGGATGAGCCATGGCCAGGCATTGAGGACAACATGTCTGATGGAGAGAACATGGATCCTTTGGACATTGAGATTGAAGATGCCGATGGCAGTGACATGAGCAGCCAGCCATCGGAATATCCCAGTACTCAACGGGCTTGGAATCAACCAGGTGATGGAGAGGGGAGTGCCTCAAATGACGGAATGGGATTCAAAATTCATGAAGATGATGGGGATGCAGTCGCGCAGTGGCCCTGATATAACTCCACCGGCGTGTATGTGTATGAATGGGCGAGATGGGCTCAGAAGGGTGCGAAACGGTTCTCTCGGTGTGGTCTCTTTTGTCCTGTCACGGATCTATTTTGATCATCCCGGATTTGATAGGAGCGTATGGTGTTTTGGCGTTTCAGCGATGGGATATACCTGTGTCATTTCATGCGGTCCCATGTTCTTGTTTAGATAAGACAAATCTCGACCATCTATCTATACTAGCAGCCTGCACATAGATTCCTGAAAGGAGCCTGTGCTTACGTTTTAGGCTCTAATACAGCTGACCACTACTCATCATATCCTTCTTGATTCTGCCACTCGTATCGGTGCTTGTGGTGCAGTGCCTTTCATACTTCTCGTGACGTACTATCGAACCTAGAACTGAAGCGTCATAACTCGGGTCAAGTCTCAACACACAAAGCCTAGCATAATCTGTCTCATGAGCATCATTCATTTTGTCTACCTAAGCCATTCCTCTTAACTCGAATTGGTTATCAACGCCTCCCAAACGCCATCATTTCAAACCACCAGGAAGAAAGTAGCTGCTGCTGTAATCAATCTGAACATTTATGCAAAGTGTATATTCTCCCTGTTGAACTCGTACAGCAGGCGCAGGAAGTCGTTCTCCTCGAGCTTCGACGCCCGCTTGTCCGTCATGTCGGCGCCCTCGAGCACGCGCAGGATCTTGCTGCGCACTAGCTCCGCCGTGCGCGTCTTCTTGCGCTTGCTCGGCGTCTTGGCCGGCTGGCTCGCCCGCGCCGCGGCCGCCTGCTCCTTGAAGAACTCGGGCGTGTCGGTGTCGTCGTCGTCATTCTGGCCTCCAGCGTCCTCGTCGTCCACGTCCATGATGCCGCCCCACTCGTCATCGTCCGCCTTGCCATTCGCGGTCGGAGCCCCATCGACGTCCATGTCATCGGCTGCTGCGGCGCCGTCGTTGTCCACGAGGGTGTCGTCGACGGGGATGTTGTTCATGGCGCAGTAGGTGCGGTAGTTGCGCTCGAGCATGGCCAGCACCTCCTTGGTGCCGAGGAAGGAGGCGCGCATGGTGCGGTTCTTGCGGCCGAAGGCGATGCGCAGCAGGCCGTCCCACTCGTCGAAGCTGACGTTGGGGCGGTCCTTGCCGGTCTTGGGCTCGATGCGCACGACTGAGGACTCGACTTGCGGCTGGTAGATTTTGGTCAGAGCAGTATCTTGGGGGAGTGGCGGTGCGTAGCTGGTGGTGATTTAGACTTACTGGAGGCTTGAAGTTGTTCTTGCCGACTTTGAGGACATGCTGAAACACAGGTTAGCAGCTGGCAGAAACAAGACAACATCAAGGTGCCCATGCCGTAATCTTGGCAAAGAACTGCGCATTCACGGATAAACGGCAGTACAATGGATCTCCCGGTCGAGCCGTCAGGCGCATGGCAAACTCTCTCTGAAACATGAGTATCGACGTCCTCGGAGGATTCGGCATAGACAGCAACTTGAACACCAAGGGGCTGGAAATCTGGTAAGGGGTATTGCTGATGCAGACGTCAAACTGGGGAAAGTCCAGCTTGATGGCGTCGCCCAGTAGTACGTCCAATTTTTTCTGCGCCGGTGTTCCTTGTACTCGCTTGCTCAGTTCTGCCGCCATTCCTGTTGTCCCATGGTTAGCTACTATTCCCACTTTCTCATGTTCGTCCGGTACTCACGAGGATCGAGTTCGACGGCAATCAGGCGGCGGGCCTTCTCGAGGATTCGGACGCTGATGTTCCCGGTACCTGGACCGACTTCGAGGACAGTATCGGTGGGTTTAAGGTCTGCTTTTTGCACAATGGCCTGGAGAAAAACAGGTCAGCACCGTGGGGTTCGATCTGGCTAGACGGACTGCTGGACGTACATCTGCGATACCAGGATTCTTTAGGATATGTTGTCCGACATTTGTGCTAGAGACATAACATTAGCAGTGAATAACGGTGGAGTGACGTGCTTCTGTACTTGAACTTGAAGACATTGTTCTTGGCCGCCGCTGCGGCTGCGGCCTTGGATGCGCTCGAGGAGTTGCGGTCGTAGGGCGAAGACGAAGCGCCTGCGCGCTTGGGGGTCTTCACCTTGCCCATTGTCGAATGTGATACTGCCGCCCCAGTATACAGGTCATTGATGTTCTCTTTCTTCGCTAAACAGTCGGGAAATCAAGTCGTAAGGCGGTTTGCGCTTGGAACGGTGATCGACAACGAGATGGTGGTCGGTGAAAAGAGGACGGGATGGTGCCCTCCAAATTAAAAAATTCTTATCTTATCGCTGGTGTGCCCCGCGAACGCCAAGATTATCGTACTGCGTAGTAGTAGGTTCAATTAGACTCGGTGACAGGGGCAAGGGTGCTGTAACTCCAGGACCCACTCTTCTCCGGCGGCCACGGCAGAGAGAGCATTCAGATGCAAGAGGCAACCAACCAGCCGGAACTGGAAATATCACAAACACATAGAGATGTTATGAGCTTTCGGAATGATGCTCAGATTTGGCAGCTCGTACTTCAAGCATCCTGTGAGGTAACACATTTGATCGAATAGTGAGAGCTTAGACTATCCAGAAACCCATGTTGCTGCAAGTGCAGTCCAACGGCGCAGCAAGGCGAAGTGAAAGGCAGCTTTCTGCAGCTGTGTAAGCCCGTTAAATTACATACATCCATCCTCGAAGTGTCCAGATCGGTTTAACGGCTCATAAGCAAGAGACTCAGACTTGCATCGCATCTTGTTCAAGATTATCTCGACAATTTCAGACATCACGATCAATTGGCAATTCCACTGTCGCCGCCTCCGCCGCCGCCGGTAGCCTTGCCGCAGGGACGAACGCGAGTGCATTTGAGGCTTAGCAGCCACTCCACGTCGCCCTCCCATCCCCATCGATCGCCGCCAATATTTCATCTGCCCGCCCCATAACACCGGCAAGCGTTGAATTTCACCGCCGTCTCAGCTCTTTGACCTCTACATCCACAATTTCATCAGACCGGCGATTGGGCAACAATATGCCTGGTTTCTCTACTCAGCGACCACTGATTGTTGATGTGCTTGAGGCTAGTTGCGGATACATGACGTGAGTTAGCTCGATTGAGCCACGACCAAGAGACTTGGCAAGCAACGCCATCGCGGGAAACGCAGGGAAAGAGAATTGCGCTTCATAATCGCAGACAATACAGACATCGCCATGTCGATACGCATAGCGCTCGACAACCCGCCAGAGTTCTACACGAACCTGGACGTGGTCACAGGCCGGATAGTTCTTGGCCTCAACCGGCCCGAGCAGGTCGGCGCCGTCATTGTGAAGCTGGAGGGCGAGTCCAAGACGGCGTTGAGCGTGCCTGCTGGTGTACAGGAAGATCTCGGTCACAGCCGCAGGGCGTCTAATAGTGGCAACATCATTCATGAGAGCCACAAGATCCTTTATAAGGTCCAGCAGGTCTTTCCGGATGAGAATGTGCCGTCTGTGGCTATGCCGGTGATGCTCAACCCGGGCCAGTATGCATGGCCCTTCCGATTCAAGGTTCCTTTCAACAATGCCTGCAGCGACCCGAATGCCATGGCCAGGATGGGCGGGTTCGCTGGGGCTGGCGGATATGCCTCTGGGTCTGGTCTGTTCGGTCTCGGAGGCATCAGAGTCATGGACGGGAGCAAGCAATTGATGTATCCTCACGTCACAAAAACGCTGCCGCCCAGCTTTGACGGCTTTCCAAGGGAGGCCGAGATTCGTTATTACATCAAAGTCACGATACAACGGCCTGGTCTATTCAAGGAGAATTGGCGGTACCAGATAGGCTTCAAGTTCTTACCGATAGAAGCGCCTAGACCGCCAATTACGAATCAAGAAGCGTACGCCAGGCGGCCTTTCACCTTCACACCACGGACGCCAGTGCCTCTAAATCCAAAACGAGCCAAGAGATCTAGTTTCTTCGCCGGGATGGGAAGCTCGAGCTACCAGGTCCCCGGCCCCGGTCCTACTCCGTCTGAGGACGGAAAGCAGGGCCAGGCTCAGCCGCCGTCTATCGAGATGTCGGCCCGCCTACCACACCCTTCCATCCTCACTTGTAACAAACCAGTACCCCTCCGCCTCATCGCCAAAAAGCTTGTCACGTCCAGAGAACAATTATATCTTACCTCCCTTCAAATTGACCTTGTTGGCATGACGCACGTCCGCTGTCAAGACTTGATCAACACCGAAACCACCCGCTGGGTCGTTACCTCGCGTGCCGGTCTGGCTATCCCCCTCTGCCCACCTGACGACCCCATTGGTGCCGAGACCGTCATCCCCGACACACTTTGGCGCGACCAGCCCCTTCCCAATACCGTCATGCCGTCCTTCATAACATGCAACCTCAGTCGCTCATATCAGCTGGAGTTAAAACTTGGCGTTAGTTGGGGCTTACCACCATCTTCATCCAATTTCCGCCTCGGAAAAGCAAAAGAAGTTGGCATCGTCCCGCAGGCCATCTTCTTACCGCTACACTTCAGCACTGTTGAGGTGTACTCCGGCCTTGCGCCCCCGGAGTCACTTGTTGAAGCAATGAGACAACAAAGCGTCAGAAGACCTAGGCCGCCACCGCGGCCGAGCGCAGCGCAATCGGCGCCGGTCGTGCCGTCAGCAGATCCCTTATATCCTCCGCAGTTAGCACCGGGTCAGACGCCCGGGCAAGCCGGCGCGGGTGCCGCAGCGCCGCCTTATGATGAAGCACCGCCCAGTTACGACGAGGCAATGGCGGAGGAGATGACAGGTCCGGTCTTCCCGGCAGGCCAGACGCGGCCGGCATATAGCGGTGTCACGAATGAGAATGCACCAGACTCATTACCTAGTAAAAACTAAACCAGTCGGAAAACATGAGTCGGGAGCAGATCATGACTTAAGAGCACCCTGAAGGATGTATGCAATACAGAAGGGGAACGTACCTTGCTTTAAGAGGTTATCTATGTAAAGGACAACTCAAGAACAAGAACTGGGCAGAGAGCAAAGGTGTTAGAAGGGGGCCGATGCTTGGTCAGTCAGTATATACCATGATTATTGTGATTAATACCCTGTTAAATTGGTTTATTCCTTCCAGTATCAATTACCCTGACCAATACGTTCATTACTTTATGAAGTGGCGCTGGTTCTGATCATGTCGCTTCGGCAATGTGAGGCTGAGGAGCTAGCCGATTTGATTGGTTTCATGAGCCAGCCAGCTGCATGTCGAACCTAGTATCCTTCACCTCTCCTTTTCTATCATTGGGTTCATCTACTACGCATTCACCCTTTGAGTCGCTCGCGGCTCGGGCGTCGTGTGACAGCCGGATCGATCACCCTCGGCCTCAGCGCAACACCACATCAACACATCCTGAGGTAGTGCAAATATCACAATGTCCATTTATGTGTATGAGGCATTACCAGATCAGAGCTTTGTCCGAGTACTAGTTCTTTACTCAGCCTCGAGCCGAGCCGATCCCCTCGAGTGCGACTTGGTTCTTTATGATCGAGATGCAGTATCTTCAGCGACTTGGCCAGATGCATCGTATGACGCGGTGTCTTACGTCTGGGGTGAGCCAAACTTCACACATCAGATCATGTCGAGATCTACATCCACCAAACTGGCAATCACTCAGAATGTAGACACTATACTCCGGTATCTACGCAAGACAGAGTCCCCATGCCGCTTGTGGCTGGATGCTGTTTGTATCAACCAGGTCGACGAAGACGAAAAGAGCATTCAGGTTTCCATCATGGGGCAAATATATCGCAGGGCTCGAAAAACACACGTCTGGCTTGGTGAGGGAGATGACGATACCGCAACTGTATTTTCTCGGCTCCATGCATTCGCAGGGTTGGCTCCGCAAGATGGCTCTTCTTCTAGAAGGCGATCTATTCCTCCGGGACTCAGTGAGGGACTGCGTGATTTCACCACGCAGAAACTTGTCAATTTCTTATGCCATCCGTGGTTTCGAAGGCGATGGGTTATCCAGGAAGTTGCGCTCAGCCATGATGTGCGTGTGCACGTCGGTGATAAGAAGATTAGCTGGATCTTGCTAAAAGATGGCCTAGACCAAATAATCCAACACAACGACACCACGATTCCAGACAATGAGGCGCGACTAGCCCTCACCACAATAAAACACATGCACATATCTAATGGTAATCTTTTAGATTTGATTTGGCACCTGGATTACACCCAATGTTCAGATCCCAGAGACCGATTTTACGCCCTTCTTGCAACGCTCTCAAAGCAATACCCGGGCATCCCCCTTCCAGTGGAATATCGGCAACATTGGACCGGATTGTTTCTGCGTGTGGCTAATTCTGAATCTTTGGACAATCTAATATGGCATCGCACCGCATTCGGAGCTCTCTCGGACATTGATGCGTCGTTGCCATCTTGGGTTCCAAACTGGTCTCGACCAAGGAAATATCTTGGACATGATAATAGATGGTATACCATCGTCCATGGCCAATTACCAGACGCAAATTCGCTTAAGAACTCTCAGGACGGCCGTATCAGTTATGTGCGTGAGGGGTGGCAGCCTGAACCACGCGGCCGCGTGCTGGAACTAAGAGGGAGGCCAAAGACTTCAGGATGTGTTGTATGGGGCACTTGGCCAACAAATGCATCAATACCTTGTCTCTCGGAGTATCTCGACCAAGAGCTCAAGGGCCTTTATAGATCGCTCCCTGCGAATGATCATAACACTGTAAAAGCAAAAGTTGAGGCAGAGGCAAAAAGCGGTCTTCGAAACCTGATTGTCGACATTCTGTTTTATTGCAACGTCTCTCAGTATCACGATCATTCCACGAAGAATCAACCCGTTGTCCGAAAAGCCATATGGAAGAAATTTACGGAATTTGTTTTCTTGTGGCTGTTAGGTTTGCTTACAACTCAAGAGCTGGAAGAGAAAATTCTAACTGGCTGGATGAATATGATCGAAGATCAGCGCAAGCTCCATAACAGGATAGTAGCCTGTCTAAGTCATTGGCCTGAGTCCAAGAGAACATTGGAAGGATTCTTCAAGTGTCTTGGCAGCAACGGCCTCGAGGCAGATCAACACGACTTTGAAGTTGTTAAGTATGTCGTGGGCAATTCTGTTCCTCTTCTCTTGAGACACTTGGAGAACTTTATGACTCAGACCACATTGTTCTATGATAACCTTGGTATGATGTGGTTGGGAGCTGCTGGTATGCAGACTGGTGACAGTGTTATACATGGACTGCTTGACTATGGCTTAATACTTAGACCTACGAGATCAGTCGATTATCGGGCAATGAATCCGAGATCTCCAATTGATATTTCAGACGGGACAGATACAGTATATCGATTGATCGGCGTATGTAGAGAGTTGAGCAGCAAGCAAAGGGGCAAGACTCTTGAGTCTACTATTAATGTAGCGGAACCGGCAAGAAATTACTCCGTCGTTTAACATAATGTCGAGAGATTACCAAAGTATAAGAAGTTATATCTCGACCGCTCATAGCGTAAAACATGTTCTCCTGTGCTCTACAAACAGAGAAGAGGGGATGGCATTACGGTAGAATCCATAAGGGAAAGTATCATATTCTTCGTAGCCATATTCCAGCTCCTATGGTCTTGGCATTCCCATCAATATTCAAATACAAAGGTTAGCCGAAACTCGAATGCGAGTTCAACTGGTCCGTACTCCAAACAACATATTGGAAAACACTAAGAATATGGCCAAAGACGTTAGTAGAAAATGTCTGTACCTCAAAACAAGACCAAACCAGTAATAGGTCACGTTAACACCCTCAAGTTAATACTCGATGATGTGTATTGTGGTGACAATTTAACAAGTTGATTGATTGCAAAGATGTTTTGAGAAGGAAAGTGAGTTTGCTGGTGACTTAGCACTGAATTGGCACCCTTAGAGCTATGCCAGAGTGTAAGCGGGAGCCATGGTGCCTTTTTCTTGGGAAACTTACTACCTAGGTAGTCAAGCTTTCCTATTTGCCAAATGTTGCCTCTTCAGTTCTGACCATTGCCGCTGCCTTTCTTTTTCTTTTATTCTGTCGGAGTTCCGTTGTGCAATTGGTATTTGATTGATACGATCCCGGATCTCATCCCGTCGAGCTCGTTCACGATCCACCATTTCAGGTGTGAATGGGTTGTTTGATGTTACTTCGCCCTTATTAGTCACAGAAGAAGATCTCCGGCCAGTTTATACTCACTATCTTCGACATATTGACCCTCCAAAGACCGGATTTCGTTACGGTATTTCTCAATTAAAGAGATACCGTAAATACCAGCTTCATCCTCTTCAGGCTCCTGTTCGATGATCAAATCCTCATACTTGGAGAATACATCGAACTCGTTCAAAAAGGCGTTGCTAACAATGGCGTTCACTGGGAGGTCGTCCATGATGTGGAAATCACACTTGATGGGTGCATCTTCTTGGCGGAACTTCCATCGCACATTTCTCACCACACCACTGGTGAAGCCCAGAGAGCCATCGACAAACTGCACTCTGCATCTGTGGCTTCTGCCCTTTCGGATCTTGAGTCCAAGTTTCCGAGCATATGCGGAGGACATAGCCATGATGTCGGATCCAGTGTCAGGAACTACAGAGCAGCCTACCCCGTTCAAGTATCCCGAGAGAAGATCCTGGTGACCTCCAAGAAGTTTAAGAGATATCAATTTGGAAAATTTCTTCTTAAGTCGATTGGCATATAGAGTCATTGTCTGGGTTATGCGGAGAAATTTCGACCCTAGCACTAGAGCATGTGTAGTTCTCTCTAATACAATGCATATGAGTGCATGAGTCTTTTTCTCCCCTGAGAACGTGAAGGTGCCATGGACTACTCCAGGTGAATAGATTCGTTTCCCCGATGGAAGGGGTATGTAACCATCAGTACTGGGCTTAGTTTTCAACCCTAGTTTACTCGCAAGTGTCTGGGAAATAATATTGAAACTCGATCCGGTGTCGGCGTTGGCGTTGACTGCCACCCCGTTGAATTCCCCTGATACTTCGAGTTGTTGCGTATGTGTTGGAGAGTACGATTGTGATTTAAGTGGTCGCTCGATGCTAGTATTCACCGTATCTTGAGCTTGGATCTGTTAGTCATGTCTCTAAGAATAAATTGGCGTATTGAATCTTACCTGGCGTTGTCTCATTCGATGAGTTTGGCGAGTTATCAGTAGCGGGAGGCTTGCTCCTGTGCTGGCGAAGTGTTTCGTAGATCTCCATTGTTTCTGCCACAATCTGGTCTTGGAAAGTCGGTCTTTGTTCTGGTTGTTGTATGAGAGACATATGAAACTCGTGTTCCAATTTTGAGTCATACAACCACTCTAGTCTTACTTTCGGTTGAATTAAGAAAGTAAACTCGCTTCTTATAAATTCTTCCGTCGTTCTTAGGCTTTCGACACCAGAAGATGCCGTATTATCATCCACGAGTACTTGATGGCCACGGCTGTTTTGTGTCTTCTTGGTTTCGGAAATGGGGAAATTGAAACGTCGCAGAGCCCCGAGAGATTTGCCAACTTCACTTCGTTCTTGTTGTAGAATATCGTATTCCTCTTTCTCGCCCCTGCTTCCAGGCCGCGGTCGACGCCTTCTGCGCTCCATTGCCGTGATGGATTGTCTTCAAACCTGGCTACCCAGAATCAAGACGCTAAGTAAACGTGCAGCCTTACGCGGGTATGTTATCATCAAATGGCTCAAATGGTGATATTAAACATCCGATAGCCTCAACTATCACCGCAAAGACGAGAATTTGATCGGTGCCAGTGTGTAAAGTTTACTCGGGACAGTGATACCGCTATGGCTTCTTGCCCTAACAGGGTTGAGACTCAAATTATTGTTCACGATGTTCAAGGGCAACGGGCTAGAAGGATGCAAAATGGAAGGGGAACAAGGCGTTACTAGTGCTCATCTCGGAGACCAGGGGACGAGTTTCAGCCTAAAGGCCGGATTGACTGAGCCAATCGACAGGCAGAAGCTGCCACAGCCACAGTGAGAAGGCTTTCCGCAAGGCATTGTCGGAAGACCACACGCAACACCGAGTACCATTGCCTTGGAGTGATGAGACATTGGATTCTTCTTGCCAACAGCTAAATATCCGGTGCTCTCGGTTATTGTCGAACAAGTTGCGAGAAGTCCTTCATGATTACAGAATGAGAATACTGTTTCATGCCGCCAAAGAATGCACACACGCAGCGTCAGCGATATGAAGGATACTTTGGGGCTGGGTCGTGGCTTGCGCAAGATCCTGACAATGAAACGTTTATATTCCGAAAATTCGATAAGCTCACGGCCATAAACTTACTCTACATGCAGAGTGAGTTGATAGAGCTTGAGAGAAAGATAGAAGAGATGCATGTGAAGACTTTGAGCTGCGATGAGCCAGAACTCAAGGATGTTGCTGCGACATGGGAGGTCCTTATCGATCGAGACGACCTTAGTAACGAACAACTGCTTGAGGCCCAAGAGCGACTTGATCTCATTCAAGAGCTGAGAACCAAAATCAAAGAATATCGTGAGTGACAAATATCTCGCCTACAGGGTGTTCTATGGCTAACCAACAGCTAGACGAGGCGCTATTATTGCAAAGCCAAATAGCACAGTTGAAGCATCCTGATAATCGTGTTCTCGAAGCTGTGACACATTTCTTTCAGAGACCTCATCCGATTCTTGGTGGGAAAGCGAAGGAGTTCCTCGATAACAAGAACGATCTGATAGCAATCAAGTCACCAGGTGAGGTCGACTTTCTGTCGAGATGGCTAAGGCAACATTGGGTATATGATGTAGGTTTATCTCGCTATGTCGTTGAGCTCAGTCTGACTGTCAGCAAGAAAGAAACCGCACGCGATAACTTCAACCAGTTTGGACGCTTTAATGAGGCGTCAATAAACATGACGGTGAACGTGATCACTATTATTCTGGCAGCCGTGTTTCTGTTCGGTTCGATCATTGGCTTTTACTTCGTTAGAGGAGCAGTGGTGAAGCTAGTCATGATTGCTGTCTTCACAGCATTGTTCGCTGCAAGTCTCGGTCTTATCACAAATGCCCGAAGGGCTGAGATTTTTGGTGCAACAGCAGCGTATGTATTAATCTTTGAAACTCAGTCAATTTTCATTCAGCTTACCAATTGCCGCACAGGTACGCTGCCGTTCTCGTTGTCTTCGTGAGTAGTGGTAGTCTGTCAGAGTCCAACTAGGAGACAGCTACGTTTACAAGCATATAGCTTTTTGTCTTATTAGAGCACCCTTCGTCCGATTTACTATCGAACCTCATATATCTTCTGATGTACATTTTCAGAGTGATTGGACTGTGCCTCGCACATGAGAGCAGCTTTACCTGGACAATGACTATTCTAGGAAGCAACCGACCCTTCTAAGACCCACAGAAAGCTGGTCATACGCCTTCGGTCCACAAACTCTCAAGTACTTACGATTTATATTTGATTTTGAACCGCTGAGAAAGCCCAAAAATATTATAGCCACGATGAGGAATACTGCAGACATCACCAAAGTATGTTGATGATCTGAAGGTGAAACTTTCTGAGTTGATGAATCAAGTAGCGAAGCCTTTGATTTTGCAAATAGAACATAACTTGAACGACTTGGAGAAGGCATCTAGCTTTGTTCAAGATTAGCTGTTAGAATGATCTGGCTTGTTAAATGCTGTCATCTCTTGACATACCGGTGGCAACCCATACTTACCACAGTCGGTTGGGCTATGTATGTGTATAAGATCACTGTGTGCTTGGCAGTCTTCACTCCAGCCACGAAAAATATGAACAACATTGAGCCGACCATACCTCAGATCGGTGCATTCTGGAAGGAGATCTTTGAGCGACAGTGTCATCAAACGCCTGTCAAGGCCAAGTTTCACCTCATCAAGCGCAAGTGTGCGGTTCCGGGCTCCACCGTTCACAAGGAAATGGCGGTAGAGTCGACATTCTCGTAAACAGCAATAATACAAGCTGTCCAAACAGATGACTGTTCGAGGGCAGGTAATTTGACTATATGGCTTACAATTTGGCCTCTGAGTGACACAACGGCGATAGAAAGTATGCTCCATCATGTATATGCAGCTATCACTGTCAATTCTACGTACATCATGAACAAATGTTGTATACTCGAGAGACCAGTGCCATCTTGGATCACGAGAAACAATGCGAGAATGTGTCAGTGGCATTGGAATATGGAGCTAACATCAACCAAACAGAAACAGAGACCAATGAAAATTGGTAGCGTTTGGATGATAGCTTGGTCCTGTTCGGCCTTCGGTCCATTTAGCCGCCAGACGATGCAACAGTAGGATATCACAAGACTTTGCCGTAAAGTTCTCTAGCAAGTCCGTTGGCAACTCGTGTACCAAGATGGCGAGAGACAGAGCTTGCTGAAGAATCAACCGAGCTCAACAAGAAAGTCGGTGCAGCTCTGACTTTACCCTGTGACAGACATGCGTCAAAGGATGGAGATCCAGGACACGAGAGAGCGAGCAATGGACAGAACTGATGTGACTCTCGAATCATGCTTAGCTTGTTGGCTAACCTGTCCAATCACCAGAGTCCTGAACTCAACATTCTCGGTTTTGACTTCGGTTACCGGTAAAAACTCGTTGCGCACCCAACTGCGTCCGAAACTGCTTCTAGATTTCAGCCTCTTAGATAAATAGTAATTCGACACTTATAGCCTTTTCCAAAGAAGACTGCAACCGACAAGGTAGCCGGCGACACTGTCACTAAGACGTGACATCAGGCCCTGCCCGATATGGTAGTTATGTGTATATATAACAATATGTTGAATAACGCACGACTTCTTCCGCGTGAGACTCAGATGGGCTGCATCAGTTATCTTTCTTTCCATTGCCTTCCCTTTACTGCCGGCACAGGTGCTTCACTTTCTCCAGACGGTGAGGAGACATCAATCAAAGTTCGTCCGGGAGTTTATATAAGGAGATTTTGAGACTGTTTTCGTATGCAATGGCCCATGAGTCTTTCTCCGACTCGGGAGAGGTTGTGGCTGTGATAGGTGTCCCTTCCGATGATTTGCTGACAGCGAAAATGATCTGCAAGATTACGGTGAATGCTATGATAATAGCGGAAACAATGATTATGGTCTCAGGGAATAAAATGGAGTCCATCTCCGCGGAGGCTGAACCTGTTATTACTGTATTATTGGACCGGAGAATGTAAAAATCGACAAACTGATTACAAGAGAGGAGAGTATGGGAGAGAGGGAAATGAAGAAGCAACAATAACGTCAAATGAATACATGGGCTGCAGGGAAGGCTCTCACATGATGCATTTTGGGGTTTGGTACGGCCTTTAGACATGGGAACCTTAAACCAAGGCCGACCTCTCTCGCCCGACGGCATGTATCGATGGCAATATTCGTCCTGGTGCACAAAACCTTTCTCTAGATATTGCCCCATGGAGTGGTTACCACCGTTCATCCCAATGCAGTGCCCAATTGAAGGGCAGAGGGCGCATTCATACAACCATTCGCGGATCGAGTACGGCATCATCAATAATGCACTCGCGTTTGAGGCGCTTAGTATATCAGTAAGTCGTGTTGACAGCAAGCAAAATAGCACCCTGGTAGAGATTGAAGTCTATAATCTTCACATTGCGTCCTCTGTCTAGTTGATATACAAGTCATGTACACCCCTTGGGTTCCTTCCGCCGGTGATCATGCCTGGGGTCTAGCAAGTTGCTCCCGCTGTCGTTTCATATCGCGCAGCAATTTGCCAGATGTTTACTCCTCCTCATCGGCGAACTCAGCCCGTCCAGCCTTGGAGTTGAGGTACTCGTTCCTGCAAGACAACCAGTCAGCATCGTTCAGATCGAGATTAAAAGCCACTGCTCCCATCAACACGCCGGAGACTCACCTCTCAATGGCCCAGTTCATGACGTAGTAGCCAGCAATCAGGGGAGGCGCCCAGTACAGGACCTGGGTGCTGAATCGGCGCCAGGTGTTGAAGACGGCGTCGTGGGCCATGCCGGCCACGGGGTTCTGTCGGTTGGGCGCGATGCCGTAGGTGATGACGCCGCGCTGCTTCTGGTTGGTGAAGTTGCCCCAGCCGCCGAGGTACCTGTTCGTAGCAAAGAGTGTCAGCAATCTGCGTCCCGATTGATGTGCTGGAGACAGCCGTCGTAGCTCATGACCGTGCTGGAAAGCCTGTGATGACGATGGCGGTTGCCGTGCGTCAATTGTGCGGGCGGCTGGAGGCGCACTCACACATTGTACATGCCGATGGGGGCGCCGCCGCCGCCGGCGCGGAGAGTCTGAGTCGGTCTCATCGTGTCGGTGTGTGCGGGTGACGATGGAGAAGTCAATTGGGAGTCGTGAGGCTTTTCGAAGGTCGAGAAATGCTCGAGGTTCAAATCAGTCGACGAAGTTACCGAACACCTGCACCGATGCGGCTTAGCGGCAGTCGCCGGAATTTCTTGGAACGTCAGTGGCCAGCCCGTTCCGAACGCCAAAAGACCCACTGAATTGGGCGTTTGCTCAGCGCACGGGCCAGTTGCCGGAGCTTCCATAGCTGTGACTTCAGAATTTCGAGCCATCATCTATCTCTACCTGGTGCTACCTCATCACACACACGACGACCAGCCGCCCACCATGTCGGCCGAACCGATCTCAAGATTCGCGAGATTCGCCATCCCAGCCTTCATTGGCTACAGCTTTGTTCAGGCGTCCATCTACGATGTCAAGGGTGGCACGAGAGCCGTCATCTTCGACCGGTTGTCCGGCGTGAAGGAGCAGGTTGTGAATGAGGGCACACACTTCCTCGTGCCGTGGCTGCAGCGGAGTATCATCTTCGACGTAAGAACCAAGCCGAGGAATATCGCTACGACGACGGGTTCCAAGGATCTGCAGATGGTCAGCTTGACCCTCAGAGTACTTCACCGACCAGAAGTGCAAGCGCTTCCCAAAATCTACCAGGTAAGGATTTACTTTTACATACATACATACATACAT